TATACTGCCAACAAAGGTTTGTCAAGGTGGGTTGGAGTTTAGCGTAAGAAGAGAAAAGCGCTCATTTACCAAAGATATAAAGGTTTAAATATCTTAACTAGAAGCTGATCTACCGCTGATCTATTTAAAGGGATTACAGCCTTTGTCGTTCACACTATTACGAACCATCAACTCTTGATGCAGCTAATTTAAGAACCCTGTTAAAACGAATTTTATATCATCTCTCCTAAATCTTTATATAAAAGGTCTTCAAAAACTAGGTTTTAAATATTTGAGGAAATAGAGCTAATAAACTTTACTTTCTTACAAGCAGATAAATAGGGATAATTATATCAAGAAAGAAAACCATTTTATTTAATTAGGGATTTCTTAATAGAAGTTATTGAATGTTAAGTTAAAAGTTATCAAAGAGCAGGTAAAGTTTACAAGTGGAAAAAATGAAAGTACTGGCCCTACAGTCAATGGGATGTTCGCAAAATGGAAAAAAGAATATAGCCAGCCCTTTAATAGTTACTTCTTATTAATTTGATAAATTATACTAAGTAGAAGACCAAGTTTATGGATATATAGTTAAAGAATTTCACCATGATCAGGCTAACGAAATAGCGAACATCAAGCATCCTTCTTCTATTCTTATCACAGATATGGATAGCACCTCGAGCTTTATTTTAACAAACCGCTTCATACCAGTTACCTCAAAAATTCATAAAAAAAATTCTTTTAAAGGTCATTTAAAGTATTGTAGTTGCGTTTTATGAATTTTATCGAGATAGAAAAATTTATTTATAAACAGGTCAATAATTGTTGCTAAGTATCCCACTTTGTGATTGGTCATTTTAAATCAGTTTTGGTTAATCTGCTGGAGTATCTGTAAACTTATTTCTCTTAAATAGGAAAACAATTTTATCGAAGAGAGGACAGCGAAGACTCTCACTCGCTCGCACTAAGGACCAATGTAAAGCGGGTCTAGAGAAAGGTTTAATTAAAATTTATAAGGGCGAGGGTATGCACATAAAAGACCGAAAAGGAGAGCTGAATTGTGTCAGTTGAACCCTAGACACTCAAATCAAGTATTTACCTATAACCTGCTGGTACGTACAGTTATATACTATCTTTGATTAACTATAATGAGTGCGTATTATTTTTTGGAAGCTATTTTGCCTTTGCTACATACATGCTAAGCTGGATTTTAAAACAGTGGTTGGCAAGTTTTTTTCCGCCTTTTGCCTTAGTTTCCTTTTTGGTTATTTACGTTGCGTTTTAACATACTCCAATACAAAAAAGTAAGCTACTGTATACTTCCCTTTTAATTCGCTTTTGGCATACGCTAATGTCTTGATAACTCTCACTTACTGAGATTCTTGCCCAACTTCATAGTTTTTTGACTAATAATGTAGCAGCCCGGGGCTTGCGAGCATCTTCAAGGCCGTAACTTACTTTTAAGTAAAACTAAATTACAAGAATATTCCTTTTAAATGTTGCTAACTATATGTTCCTCTTAAACACCTTAAGCTATTCTTTGAAATGTTTAATTTCCTAAATATATAAGGGCGGACGCTATAATAGTTGAATAATCAGTTTTGCACACACAAATTAAAGTTTTTAGGCTTTTCTTTTTGTAAAAACAGAATAAGTTATGTTTTTGTTTGTGCTTTGTTATTTGAAAATATGTTAAATGTTTGAATAAATGTTTGTTATAGACTATGCCCTTAAAGGAGTTGCTTAACTCTCAGAAGCGTGCACCTCCCATTAAAGGTTTACATGAAAGTTATAACCACTAGTGGCGTATTATAAGCAAACAGTTGTTAATGGAAAAAAAAACTTTAAGCTCTTCCACCACGAAAAGTTAAAAAAGAGAAAAACCTCACATTGTATTGGTAAAGCAATTTTCTACTAGCCTGACATCATTTCTATTATATTTTACTTTTAGAAAATTACGAACCGCTTGATTCCTTCCTATCTTCTCGCGCCAGCTTGTACTGAATAATCACAAAACAGTTAAAAAAAAAGGGAGGTCAAAAAACTTAGTAATATACCTTTCTGTTGGCTACTTTGCATTTTCAGCGCTTGTGTGTCTTCCTTTGTTTGAAAAGCGCTTGCATCCATTAGTCCTACTTTTAGAAACACTAGATCTTGAGCTTTACTTTTTGAAGATAAGCTAATTTAATTTAAAACTAAAGTTTCATTGACTTTCTACTCTGATTATGCCTTACAATATAGTATAACAACTCTGATATGAATAAGGCTATTTTATAAAAAAAAATCGCACTACAATATTGCCCAGCATCTTACCTAAGAAATTATACTTACATTTTGCCTCAGTTACAAAATTTTAAACCTCTTAGGAGTTATTTTAAAGTGGTTACTCCTTCAGCTGCCCATTAAATTTGATATCATACAACAAACATTTTTTTTCTTCAAAGGTAATCATAGACAAACTGGGTATGCGGTTTAAAATGAACTTAGAGCTTAACCTAAACTCAAAGTAAACTCCTTCTTTAAAAGGTAAAAGTATTGTAGGGAATGCATTTAAAAACAAACAACTTAAACCTGATATAGAAAATTAAAATAATTATGTGTCGAACACATTAATGATAAGATTTTTTTTTTTGCCTTCGACATTTTCCCACTTTGTTACTTCTATGAGGCTTCAATATATATTGGCGCTTGAAAAGTGATAGAATCTAGTTGCATCGGGTCTTAAGAGCTGTGTTATAATTAATCTTTAGGTTCCCTGTTCTCAAGAAAGGCTTTCCTATTTGTATCAAAATATTATACTTAAAAGAATCCATCAAAAGAAAAATAGTAATAAGTAAAAGAATATATAAATACCACTAGTCTATTTCTTATATAATTATAATTATTTGCAAATAAGTCAAACCGTGAACACGGCGAGAGTTTAAATCTAAGTTAGCCTAGAAGGCTAAACTCGGATATATACATTATATAGTAAAGCTGCTTAAAATAAAGGTTTTCCATATAAGGAACTTAAAATTATTATGTGTTTTCTAATTTTAACAGATCTTTATAGTTTTGGTTCCCTTTGTAGTTTACTGTCTTTAAGCAAATCGGGCCGCGAAAATAACATTCGCTTTACTTCAAGGTTCTCTTAATAGTAACAACCATGTATCATTCATAATGATTTTATTTTATCTATTCTTTTGAAATTCGAGCTTCGAGTGATAGCATTCGAAGCGCCTAAAAAAATTTCAATATTTCAAAATTTGTTAAAAATTCCTTCGTTAAACTATTATAACACCGTTATTATTATTACATAATCGCTTTTTAATTAAATATTGCTTTTTTATGATATTTTGGTCTTAAGATCATTAAAAAAAATGGATTTCATAATCGTCTATTATAATATATTTTTTATTAAATTTTCGGCTACCACTGTTTTGTAAAGACTAAAGTTGCCTATATAACCCTAAAGGGGTGTTCCCCAAGACTGTTTACTGTATTTAAATGCTTACAGGAAAATTAGCAACCCATAGTTTATTCTAAAAATTGAGATACTCAAAAAACTCATGTCTATCTCTCTTTCATAAAAAAATATTTTGAAAAACATCTTGAAGGGTTGTGATTTATTTCTGATTATATACTGAAGAATTAAAAAGTCTAGCCATCACCTCGTTTTTCTTAAGTCGCTATAAATGGATCAAAAACGGGAAACCATTTTGGCGCCCTTTGGGTTAAATTTTTTTAATGAATTTACTTTGCGCCATTTATAGCTGAGCCTTAATGTATTAAAACTTTTCTACTGTGATAACTTGCTGAGTCTCTTTACATTTTCTTTAACAATTTTTCTTACCTATATTTTTTTTCTACTCAATATTTTGTAAACAATTATGATGATATATATTTATATTAAAGTAAATTTTTCTAACAAGGTAAGATGAATTCTATCAGTGCTTTTGGCCGCAGGCTGACTAGAAGTTTACTTGCCTTAAAGCAATTTAAAGGGTAAAAAAACGACCTTGAAAATGTGTATAAAAATATATTTTTTTATTCTTTCATTTTTAGTCCTCAAAATCTTTCTTGTTTAAGCACGCATAATAAAGCAGAAACACCAGATGGTGACAAAAAAATTTAAAAATTTATTACTTAATTCTTTTCACTTTTTTTTTAATCCTTCAAAACTACTAATTAAGTTAAAGAAACGATCAAACCTGGAACTGTTCCTAAACCTGAACAGCTTTACACGCATCTCACTTTGTTCGAGTACAATCAGTTAAAGGCCGGAAATAAAGGTAATAACTCGTTTTACTGTTTTAAAGGAAATTTAAAGTAATTATATTTCAATAAAATAATTAATTTTAAAAAATATTAAAAACTTATTTATAGAGTATACTTTATAGTAAACTTATTTATTACTTTTTATAATTATTTCGTAAAATTTTTTACAGTTTTATATTTATTGTATTGATATTTATTTAAGAAAAATCTAAGGGAATAATAATAATTACAAGTTTTGAAATTACTATAGGGTTGAATTATTAATAGCAATTTCAATTACTTGTATAGAGTTTAAGCATAATTAGTTTAATTTTAAATTTACAAGCAAAACAAAATTTTTCAAGTCTTATTAATACTAGAATGTAACGTGATTAGATAATTTTAATAAATTAATTTATTATTTACATAATATTAATTATCTTGATAAATCTTAAAAAAAACTTGATCATCTACTTTTTGAAGTCATTCTAATATCAGTTATACTGCATTATTATAGTAGAAAAAGTTTGTAAAATTTTAATTTTACTATTTATTAAAAAGTAAAATAATTATAAAATATTTATTCAAAATAGTGTAGTATTTAAGTTTTTTCAAGTTTATTGTAATAATTATTAATAGAAAAATAATATCTTACTAATAATTAGTAATCGAGTTAAATTTATTTACAAAAATTTACTAAATTCATTTGATTGATAAAGTTATAACTGAAAGTAATAACAAATTTTCTAATTTTAATTTATTATAATTTTTTATTTAATAGTAAATTTATATTATATTTTTACCACAACAATGTAGTTATCACGTTTGTTTTAAAATTTAGTAGTTAATAATAATTTCAAGTAATAACTACTAAAAAAATTTGATTATAATTGGTTATGGATTCGTTAAATTTTATAATTTTTTATTATTTGGTAAAATTATTAATTAGTACACTTAAAGGAAAATATATAACTGGATTTGTTAATTTCTACATAACTTTTTATTCCTTTTTCATAAAATTATTTTTTCGAGTATTATTTTTATCTTCTATATTTTTAAAATTTATAAAATAATTTTTTCAAATTTTTTTAGAATAATTATTTATTTTTTTAAATTAAAAAATTTATGTTTAAAAAATAATAAAAAAAATATATACTATTTTAATTATTTTTTTTATTTCTTATGACAATCACTTTATTATAATGTTTAAATATTTTAAAATAATTTTAAGGTTTAGAATTTGCTATTTTATATTTACATAAAGTAAACTTTTTTACACTTTTTTTTTGATTAATTATTTTTTAATTATCATAATGGTTTTTGGTTAAAACTTTAATTTATTTAAAATTATTTCTACTATAAATTTAATACCAATTTAATATTTTTTATCATAAGCAATTCATTTACTTTTTTTTGTTAATTAAAAAATATTTTTGATAATATTGTTATTATTATAAAATAACAGTAATTACTAATAAATATTTTAATTTTTTTAAAAAAAGCAAAGTTAAAAAAAATTTCAAATAATAAATTTGAATATTTATAATACTATTCTAATCATATTATTACGACGTTTACTCATTACAAAAAATATAAAAGTGAAGCAGATAATTTATAAAATTTTTTCTTTAATTAGAAGATTCGGAATTTAAAAAATTTAAATTTTAAATAAAAAAATGTTTTTTAAATTACTAATATAAAAACTTATTTCTATAAAAAATATCATATAAAAGGTAAATATATATTTTTTTATATTATTGTAGAATTAGAATATAATAAAAAAATATTATGAATAATATTTATTATATAAAAAGTAAAGCAAGTTTTGCTTTTTATTTATTATATATATAATTAATTTTAAAATTATTAAAAATATATAAATTACAGAACAAAAAGAAAATTTTTTTTCCGTTACGAAAGAAAAAACTATAAAAAATAATTTTCTAGTTGAAAAATTAATATTTGAACTTTAAAATTTTTATAATAATGCTTTACTTTTAACTTTTTTTATTAAAATAATTATATATATGTAGTAGAACAATATATTATTACAAAAATATTTATAAAGTTTAATAATAAAAAATTATTATTATTATTACAAGAATAATTCTTGAGTTAAAATTTTTTTTTGAAAAATGATAATGCTATTATAATAATAGAAATAAATATCCTACCTAAGCATTTTGTAATAAAAAATATATAAGGATAATTATTGATTCACATATAAAATAGTACTTATTATAATAATATTAAAACCTTAAAAAGATATATTATCATAATAATAAACTTTAAAGTAAAATTAATTTTTTTCTGCATATTTTGTATCAAATATATATTTAAAAATATTTTTAAAGTTTATTAATAGAAAATAATTATTTTTATTTATGAAATATTTAAACTTTCAATAAGGCTTTTTTATAGAAATATATTAGTATAAAAATGAGAACTATAAAAAGTATAATTTATTTCGTTTTCTATTGGTAGATCCTTGGTACCAAACCGCCCTCAACGGGGCCAATCATTGGGGCACTTACGAGGACCCCGTAATAATCCCCTCGTTCGAGGATACACGTGTGATTGGCTGCTCTGGTAATCGTGAATCAATAATTTATTACTAAAATATAATTTGTGTAAATTTCTTTTGCAGTATTTTTTTTATTTTGAAAAATAATTCATTTTTTATTTATATTTTTGAAGTATTATTAAATATATTTTAAAACTTTTTTTATTGAAGAATTTTTTTATGTATAAAATATAAGGAAAATATTTTTTTATTTATACAAAAAATCTTAAATTAATTTTTCTGTATATGCATATTATAAAAAATTTATAAGAATTTTCTTAAAAATTAAAATTTACTATATAAACAAAAAACTTATTTTTATGTTTTTATATAAAAAATTGTTATTGTAAATCGTAAGAAATTTTTAATATTAATAGAAAAATAATTTTAGTAGTTTTTTTTTTAATTTTTCAAAAAAATTATATTATATTATCATGTTCTTCTGTTAAAATCTATTGTAAAAAAATTTATATAATTAAAAAAATAAAAAAAAAATTTGCTGTATTAATAAATTTTACTTAAATTTTCTGTAAAATATATTTTATGGTTTTTATATAAAAATTTGTAGTTATAAAAAAAAATTTATTGTAAGAATTTTGTTATAATAGAAAATTACTTTTTTTACAGTTTTTTTAGTTATCATAAAAAGAATTATTTACGATGGTCTTCTATTAATTTTTATAAAAAAAACTTTCATAAGTTTTTTTTTAATTTTTATAATAATAACCTTACAATAGTAATAAATTTTATTAAAGGTTTATTGTAAGAATTTTTTGTTTAAAATTTATTTATATAAAAATATTTTTTTTGGAGCATTTTAAAATTTTTTTACATAATTAAAATGTTTTCATTAATTTTTTTTTTGCTTTCTACAATATTTTTACTTTCACATTTCATGTATAAAAATTTTATCATCTATATAAATGAAAATTTTATTTTGTTCATGATATTTATTTATCATTTCAAAAACTTTTTTTTATCAAACTTTAGTATTAAATCTTTTTCATAAATATTAAATTTTTTATTTTATTATAAACCTTAAATTTTTATAATGGTTTATATATATAAATATCTTTTTTTGTAATATTTCAATAATAATTCTTTTAAAAATTACTTTTATTTTTTTATTTATTAATCTTTTATATATAAGATTTTTTATTTAATACTATAATAATAACCTTAAAAAAAGGTTTATATTTTTATATAGAAATTTTTCATATATGAAAGTAATTTTTTTAATGTATAATTGATTAACTTTTATGCTAACAGTTTCTTCCATAAAATTTTTGTTAACGAAAAACAATTATAATTGCTGTCGTTATTTTATATGCTAAAAGTTATTTTTATAATATTTTTTTTAAAAAATTAACAATTATTAGTTTCGTTTAGAAAAAAGTTAAATAAGTATTTTTATTAAAAAAGACAATAATAATTATTATTGTCACTATAATTTTTTTATTATAACTATTTAACCAGAGAAACTCATGTTATGAAATAAGAAAGTGATATATAGTTTTTAAAAATTTTTTTATTATATACACCAAAATAGTAAACTTTTTATTAAAAGAAAAGTAAAAATAATTTTTATTTATATATATTTTTTAGGAGGAAAAGGCCAACCCGAAGCAGCGCCTCCTCATGAGTTTAGATTTTTTGAACTCGAATTGGGTAACCTTTTATTATTATTATTATTGTTATTTTTACCATATTGCTATTATCATGTTTCTTATTATTATCATTTTTTTTTCTATTATTGTTATTAAAACTAAATTATTTTAATTATTAATATTGTTATTATTTAGTTTATTAATATTAATGTTATTATTCCTATTTGGTTTATGGATGTTACATTACTATTATTATTGTTTTACTTTATAATTATTATTATTATTACAGTAATTACCATTATTTTTTTTCAGTTTCTTATTATTATTATTATCATTATTACAATAATTACTATTTCTTTTCTAGTTTAGTATTATTATTATATTTTTTATTATTATTAATTTGTTTATTATTATTAATAATAATATTAATTATAGGCGAGGAATTAGAGTGCGATACGTGCGGGCAAGTTTTTGTGCTTAAGATTGTTCCTGATCTCATTCCTCGTTATGAAGGAGAAGAGCATCACTAAATCATATAAAAATTATTATAATTTCAACAAATTATAATTATTATATTTAAATTATATTTTTTGAGTTTGTATAAATTTTAAAATTTTTAAGAATTTGATTTCTCAAGCAAATTTTATTTAAAGCAGTATTAAAAAATACATTACGACTTAAACAGATAACTGAGAATCTTTTACTCCAAAACGCCAAGCAAGTTTTATATATAATATTAATAGAAAACGAAGAATAATTTAGAAATGTGAAGATTTTAAAAGATTGAAAGATAGTAAAAAAATATTAACTATTAAAAGTAAATTTCCAAATATTTTATTTTGATAGAATAAAGCAGATTATGTAAATAGTTTTAATAAAATAATGAGTTCGAACTAAAAAATTAATTATTAAAAAAAGTTTGCAATATTTTACTTTGAAAAGGTGAAGCAGATTTTATATCAAAATAACAAAAAAATGAATGATTTTCAAATGATGTTTTTAAAAAGATTGAAAGTTGGAATAATAAAATTGTAACTCTTTAGAAAAAGTATGCAAGATTTTACTTTGAAAACATGAAGCAGATATTATTTAAAGTAATATAAAAATAAATTACGAAAATGAATATAAAAATGAAATAAAAAAGGGTTTTAACTTTTTACCCCCAGGGCTTAAAATAAGGTAATTGTAAAATATAATGACTTAAAAAGTAATCAATTCTAAGGGAATGAAGAATATAAGTTTCTAAATATAAAACTAGTAACTACATAAAGGTAATTAATACTGAAAGATTGATGTAAAATAAAGTTTTTTACATTTTACCTCCGTGAAGCAAAATTTTTTAAAGTAAATGTTAATCATAAAGGACTTAAAAAGTAATTAATTATGAGTGAAAATAAATGAAAGTTATAACTTTGTGCCTTTAAAAAGGTAAAGTAGATTTAAATTTAAGTAATAAAATATAAATAAGGACACTAAATAGTAAATTTTTATGAAAGACTGAAAAAAAATTAAATGTTTAGGATGTTTTTTTTTTGTTTTAATAAACTTTTATTATATGTTATGTATAATATAATAAATAAATTTTTTTTGGGTGCTTTGGAAACTTTAAATAAATTATCGAAGCATTAAATTTTTAATACTTAATATATTTAAGAAAACGCTTCAGGATAATAAATTTTAAAGTTTAACTGCTTTCTCTGTGCAATTTCTTTCAACTTTTAATATCCAATATATATATATAATTTTAATAAATAATGTTATTTAATTTTATTCTGTGCATATATTTTTTAATTTTTGTTGTGAGGAGTAGGCAAAATAAAGCGGAAGAATAAAAAAGGAAAGAAATTAAATGAGGAAAAACCTGTTCATCTTTGCTACTAATAATCTTTCTATATATACTTTACAAAACCAAACAAAAAATAATGCATATTTAAAGTTTTTTTAATCACTAAGACATCCCTACGTTTATTTTTAAACATAAAGTCTATTGAGTAAAATTTAAACCTTAAGATATAAGCTAGTGGGAAATTGATTTCTTAAGTTTTTATTTAGGCAAAACCCTCATTAAACATCAAAGGGATGTTGCGAGCACTGCGATCTTTTTTCTCTGTTCCTTAGTAGTTGTCCGTTTTTGTCAGGTAGTGAGCGTTCTGCAACTCTAACGGCCCGAGAGCAATTAATAAATTATTACAGTTCCTCTTAACAATTACTAACTCTATATTTTTTTTTGTAGTAAATATAATATCATCCGTTAATTATATATTAGTCCTTGAAATTATCAAGTCTGTAAGACAAAGAATTCCAAAATAATAATGAGAAAATTTTACTAAAAATATAAAAAAGAAATTTATTTTTCGAGCGTCGTGCTCTTTATTTTTTGTTTTGTTTTGTAGTTGTCTGTGTTTGTCATATAGTGAGTGTTGTTCTCCTTAAACGGCTCGAGAGCAATCTGATATATTATTACAGTTCTTCTTAACGATCACTAACTTCATATTATATTTTTTTGTATATAATATAATTTATTACTTATAATACAATGGTTTTTAAAGTTACTAAGTCTGTAAGATCAACTCAACATATAATTCCAGAAATTTAGTGAAGAAATTTAAATATAAAAATTTAATAAATAGTATATATTTTTTTCTATTGTATTCAAATGGGAGAGTGCATTCCAAGTTTCGTGTCAAATACCAAACGAGAGCGCTTTTGCAAACGATTAAATCTGAATAAAAAATATTAATTATGATAATTGCTATGCTAAAAAAATATTTTGGTATAAAAAATAAATAAAACATTAAACGAACTTTTTCATCAAAGTTATAACCTTTTTTGTTGTATTAAAATGAAAAAAAAATAGTACTAAATAATTCTTAATGGAGATTTTTTTTAAAAATTAGTATAAAAATAAGTTATTTAACAAAATTGATTACTATAGTTACAACTTTTTGCTATATTTTAATGATTAAGTACTTAATAAATAAAGTTTTTTTAAAAAATTTGTATAAAAAACTAAATATGAAATTATCAACTTTTTATAAATATTATAAAATACTTAACAAAAAAAATATAAAATGAAAAAAAAAGTAATAAAATACTGGAAGTAAAATTATATTAATAAAACATTATCAAAAATTTCAAAACTTAATTTAATAATTATAACTATTATAAGAAAGCTATTAAGTTTATTAATAAAAATTTTTTTACTTGTTACTATTCTTTAAAAGTTTATATAAATAAGTTTACATTTTAACAGTTTAATAATTTTTACTTATTACTACAATTATAGACTTACTTTTTTAATTTTGCTTATATTGTTTTTTAAAAAGTTTTTGCAGTTTTATAGTTATGCTTATTATCATTTATTACAAACTTTGAAATTATATTAATTTTATATATGAGTTTTTATTTTAAAAAGTAGAAAAAATATAAAAGTTTTTATATTATAAAAAAATGAAGAACCGTTTTAAATCAAGAGATTTTGCGTATTCTTGAAGGCAAATCAGTATAGGAACGAAACCAAAACCCACAGTATAAACATAATATTTTACCTTCTATTAAAAAAATAAAAATAATATTTTAGTCAAATTATTATTATATTATTAATTTTATTATTACTATTATTTCTGTTAAGGAAACGATAATAATATTTAGTTAAACTTTTCAGCTAATATAGTTAATATTAATAACATTATTATCAGAGCTTCTACTTATAAAACGATAATACAGACTCATCAAACTTTTTCTCATTACTATTATTATTTTTATTTCTATTAAGGAAATGATAATTAAATTTAGTTAAACTTTTTAACCATTATAATTATAGCTACTACTCGCAAAGCGATAATACAACCTCACTCAAACTTTTTCTTATTATTATTATTTTAGCTTCTACTAATAAAGTAATAACATTTCAGTCTTTTTTTTTTAAGATTTAATATGTTAATAAAAAGTTTTATAAACGTTTTTCTTTAGTAATTTTTTAGCAACATTTATTCTTTCGTAAAAAAAAAATCAAAAACTTTATCTTAATTTTAGCTTTAATTTGTGAAACAAAAATCTTCGTAGAAAATTCTTAAGAGTTTGTAAAGTTTGAAACGTCTTCATTTAGTAAATTTTAGCTAAAATGATTTTTTATAAACAAGAGCTTTTTTATTTATGAGCCAAATATAAATTCAAGCAATATTTTTTTTAAAAAAAAGTTTTCTAATTGTATTTCTTTAGTAGTTTCAAGTAATTAATATTAGTCCTTATAATTTTAGCTTCTATTTTTAAAACATTACATTTTAGACTTAAAAGATGTTGAGCTGGGTTGTTTTATTATAAACAAAAGACAAAAATATTACTATTACCTTATATTATTACTATTATCGTAGTTTTGGTTATTGTTGTATCGTTATGTTAAAGATCTAAATATATATATTTAGTAGGACTGTTTTATATATATTTAAATTCGAAATATAGTCAGATTTTATTATAATGTCTATAAAAGTTAAAAGTTTTTAAGGTTTTTAAGGTTTGTTATTCATAAGGAACTATAAGTTAAAATAATATTGACAAATGAAAAAGAAAAACACTATAAAATAAGTCTTCTAAATTTTCATAATTTGAATGTTATTATAAACAAAAAAAATAGCACACTTTTATAATTGAAACTTCTAATCCTGAAGTCGTTAGGCAGGAAAAGATAAAGAAAATAGTTTGCAGTATAATTCTGTAAATCATTATTAATTTTATTATGTGAGGTAAAATAAAGTATTCATTATTTCCTCAACTATACATTCTCTTTTAAAATTAAAAATATGAAGATTGTATACTATAATTTTAGTATACCGATAATGTACAAAACTGCTATTATTGAAAGTTATGTAAGTTTAAATACATTATTATTATTTTGGTATACCAATAATGTATTCAAAAAACTGCTGTTAACTAAAAAGTAATATGAAACCTAACAACTTTGTTTAATATACACTAACAAGATTTTAACAAAAGACGCTAAAGTTTACAGCTATCTTGCAAAAAATTCAACATAAAGGCATTAAGTAGTACCAAAAAGTTACCGGCGCTTATTAAAAAATAAAAATTTTTATATTATGCAATCATTAAACTCGTAATTGAGAATTTTTGTATAAAGTAGGGTTAAGAATTTCATAATAAGTGCGAATTTCAAAACTAATAAGACTTTTTATTTCAAAAATGTAAAGTATAATAAACATTTTTAGAAACCAGAGTTTACTTGTAAATGCGTTAGTTTTGTAATTCCAGCCAGACTTAGGCTTACATTATGCATAACAAAGTTTATGACTTTTGTACTTCATTAAACCTTTATTATATTTATATATATATTTTTTATTTTTTTTTTTTCAGGATGTTTATTATATTCACTTTTAGAAATATATATATTATTACTTTTAAAATTTATATATATATCATAGTTATTATCATTATTTTTGCCTTTCCTATTTCATTATTATTATTATTATTATTATTATTATTATTATTATTATTATTATTATTATTATTATTATTATATTTATTATGTTATATATATGGATTAATTTGTTTATACTTTTTATTATCATTAATTATTACAACTTTTATATTTCACAATTATTATCATAAAGTTTAACTTTAAAGTTGTTAAATTGTTATATAAACAGGATGCCTTATTTCTTTATAAACTTTTGAATATAAATTTTTCTATATATATCTACTTTTAAGAAGTATTTTCTTTTAGTTTTACTTTTCCGCAGACAGAAAAGATTTAAGTACAGCTTGCTTCGATACAAAATAATATTTTTTTAATATAATTTTTGAGTTACAAGGAATTTAGTCAAAAGAAATTGAAAACTTTCATTATTATAAAAAAAGCAAAGTAGACGATTTAGTTGATGCTTACATATTTTAGGACCAAACTCTGATAATTATAATTATAATATTATTTTATCTGTATTGCATATGCCTTTACACTAGTTACATGTATTTTTGTTTAACGCATTACAGAAACTTTCAGAGTTTCCTATATACTTAGAAATTTTATGGAGGAATTGTAGTATAAAAAAAATTTATTTTTCTGAGGTGAATGGGATTTTTTTTTTACCGCGTTAAAGAAACTTTTTACGCTTTATATATATATATATATATATATAACTTTCTGTACTAAAGCTGTTTATATAACCGAGAGTTCTCAATAATCTTTAAAAAGAGAAACAAAAGAAAAGATTAACAAAAAAACTAATCCTATGGCTAAAAAAGTAAAGTACTTGTATAGACGCCAAACAGAAGAAAGCTTTTATAATATTAAAAAATATATAATTACGTAATGACAACTGCAAAAACTGCAGCATAACAGCGTTGAAAAGTAAAATTTTTAAGAGGTTTTGTGCGATGCTGAAAACTTAAAGAGATCGCGGCTTTATAGATATATATAAGAAAAGTAATTTATATAAATATATTATGAAGAATAATAAAAATAATTATAAAGAAAAAAAGTAAAGTAACAAAAAAATATCTATTGCATGTAAATAAATTAAAAAGTAAAATAATAATAATAAATCTTTAAAAATTTAATTTAAAAAAATGAAAAAAAATGACGAATGATAATGATAAAAGAGTCAATAAAAATAAGATATCAAAAAATTGTATCAACAAATCTTAAAACCAATAAACTTTAAATTTAATAAATAGAAATAGTTATATTTTTTAAATATATATATATATGATATTAAGGGAATTTATATATAATACTAAGTAAAAAAATTAGATATTCCTATACCCAAATAGAGAACAAAAAAAAAAAGAGAAATATTTTGGGCAAAAGTATGCTGGGGCGTTCCGCTGTACGTTGAGGCGGGAATCTACAAAAAAAAATATTGAATAGAAAGCATGTTAAAATAAACTGGAGCCGATTAGCAAAAATTGGTATGTTAATTGATAAAACTAAAAATAGATCAGGTTTAACTGATACAAAAAATTGTATAAAAACCAGTTGGCTAAAATTGAATAAAGCTACTTTATTCGGTAAGAATAGCGACCAATTAATAAAATAATAAGACGCCAATCACTAAGTTTCCTATTAAAGTAAAAATACAAAAAATTTCTATAATTTTTTTTTTAAATCTAAATATTGTATAGTAAAACTATATGTTTTACTTTTGAAATTTTTTTTTTGATTTGTTACTAAAAAAAATTCCGTACACTTCATTATTAAAAAATAATAATTTTATAATTATTTCATTTTAACAATTTAAATAGGAAATAGTTAATTGGTTTTAATGCATTATTTGGTAGAAAAAGTAAATCCGAAGAAAAATATCAATAATAGGTAGCATTAATCATAACAGGTACATAAAAACTTTATTTAAGCCAATAAAAAGTTAGCATTACTTTATCGGTGCCAAAAAAATATTTAATTGAATGCTTACGAACTGACAACGAGTGGCGTCGGGAGATGATGTGCATAACGAAAACAGACACGAAGCAAAGACAATATTAACCACAAAGGAAATGGGCAGGAATCGTATAGAAAAGTATAACCAGTAAAATATTAACCACAAAGGAAATGGGCAGGAATCGTATAGAAAAGTATAACCAGTAACGATTTATGTCCTAAAGAATATATAATACTAATAATAGTAATAATAATAATAATAGTAATAACTTTGAGGCGAGACTCGTTTTTCTTAGAGAGTAAATGGAGTAACTTTTCCTCAGCGGTAGAAAATAAAAGAGCGCTCGATAGCAAAGGTATAATAACTACGCACAACCTAAATAATAATAATAATAATAATAATAATAATAATAATAATAATAATAATAATAATAGTAATAACCATAACAAGTAAAGGCCGTTTAAAACTGGAGGCAAAAGTAGCAAATAATTTATAATCATTAATAATGATAATGAAACGTGCGCTCCTATAAAATAATAATTATAATTATTATTATTATTACTATTACGATCACTAGTTTTATATTACTAATATTATTATAAAATAACCTATAGAAAATGCATAAAACATCTGCATATTATACATTAATCTTCTTGCTTCCCGAAGAAGATGGTTTATTATGAAGAGCGGAGTGTCGTTGTCTCAAGAAATTTTTATAGTACAAAAGTGTCATAAATTTTAGTGATAGAAGTCCACCAACCAATATGAAGCGAGCAACTAAGAGTCGTTAAAAGCATTGAAAGATCCAAAAGAGGCACTACAATATTTATAATAATTAGTAAAAAGTTGTGAATTATTATTATTTATAACCTTTTTGATTGGAAACGCTCGTAGGTTTGAAATTTGAAGGGCTAATAATAATAATAGTAGTAATAATATTAGTTAAAGTAACAATACTTTTTAAAAAATACTTCTATACAAACTTTTTATAAAGCTGTCACGTGGGAGTTGCCTTAAAGATATGCCTCGTATGAATATTGCTCATTGGATGAATAATTATTATAAAAATTTAAACTAATGTATATAAATTGATTGGACGAAAGTAAAACTTTCATAAAATATTAAGTAAAGAGAATCCATCAACAATGCTCATTAGAGTAATAGAAAAAACTGCATTGTGAGGGTCCTTAACTTAAAACTGAGAATGCTCATTTGCTCGACAAAAGAAATTATAAGTTCATAGACTTTTAATAAGGAATTAACCCATTAACAGGCGGTATTATATAATTATTATTATTAGCATTACTATTATTATTATTATTATTATTGTTACTATTATTACTTGTTAACGAATACGACGCTAAAGTGTGGGGTTTTAACGGGTATTCAGTGGCTATTCAGAAGTAGAAATGGTGGTGTAAACAAGAATATTATTAATAAGTTAATAACGTTTATAAAAAATAATAATTTTCTCTAAAACTTTATTTAATAAAGTAAGTAATAATAGTTAAAATAAAAAAAAAACTTACAAAAAATATAAAAATACAAATTATTATATTAATGTAATAATAAAAAATTATTTAAAAAAAAAACACAATAAAGAAAAATTTTAATAATTAATAAAAACTTCTACAAAAGTGCTTTAAAATGTTATTTAATTCAGTAAAATAAATAGAAATATATAATCTATTTCAACTCACGTGAAAGCTATTCTATTTAGCCAACAAAAATAATTTAAAATACCAAAGAAACGCATGCTTTTATAAACCAATAAAAAAAGTTCATAATCCAGAAAAAACCCCATTAAAAAAGGTCGGAAAAGTACCCAAAAAAGTTAGCCATTAAAAATAACAAATCATTACGCAAAAAAAAAACCGATATAATAATATTTCTATTGATTACTGTAAACTTCATAAAATTTACTGAGTAAAAAAAGGAGGACAATTGAAGACTCCAGCGGAAGGCTCAACACTAATAGCTATTGTATTTATTATTATTATTATTATTTTGAAGTATAAGTAAAAAAAATCTTTTGTAGTAATAAAATCTTATATTTAAAGTTTCTTTCAAACTTTAAAAAATTTAAAAATATATTTTTTGTATTCATCAAAAATTAAAAAGTTGTTATTTTTTGTATTTATAAAACATTTAAAGAGATATAAAATTTTAAAAATTTTATAAGCAACAAAATATTCAAAAATAAAATTTGTTTAAATTTTTACGCAAAAAATATAGTGGAATAAAAAAAATTATTCATAAATTTAGTGCTATAAAGTTTATAAAATATTTAATTAAATATAATAGCGAATAAAAAGTATTGCGCAATAATTTTAGTAAAAAATTTCAAATCTTTTATGATTAAAATAGATTAACGAATGGAATGTGTTTATATTTTCATGATATAAAATTTAGTGAAAAGTTGCGAAACATTAATAATTTATATATAGCCAAAAAAAAATTTAGTAAAAAAAAAAAATTAAAATTATAAAGTATATAAACGAATGAAATGTGTATAAATTTTTTTTTACGCAAAATTTAGTGATACCAGAAATTTAATGGATATATACATTTATAAATAAATTGTTTAAATTTTAAAGCCATTAGTTTAGTGAAATAAAGTTTAAATCAACGAATTAGACGTATTTACATATTTAAGCAATAAGAAATTTAGTGAAATAAAATTAAATTATAGTAAACGATTCAAACGTGTTTAAAGCCCTAATTTAGTGAAATAAAAATTTTAAAAGACTTAAACAAAAATATATAACTAATAAAATTAAATAATTATTTATATATAAATTTATTGAAAAAAAATTTAAAGATTCAAAATAAGTAAATTTTGCTTGTATTTCAATGCAACAAATTTAGTGAAATAATATTAATAAAAAAAAAAGTTTACTACTTATTAACTAATAAATTGTGTATAAATTTGTTAGGCAAAAACTTTTAAATATTAAAAAATTATATTATTAAATTTTTTAAAAGAATAAAATTGCTAAAATTTATATGCAAGAAATTTAGTGAAATAGTATTTTCAAATTTTTTATAATATAAAAACTGCTAAAATATACCAAAAGTTTAGTGACTCCAAAAAAACAAAAGAAATTTGTCTGTATTTTATTTAAGGATATATTTTATGAGTAAAAAGGGTTTGTACCTATAACGCAAAAAATATAGTGAAATAAAAATGATTTAAAATTTTGCAACAAAATATTAAAAAATAATAAACCTTTTCAAGCAAAAATGTTAGTGAGAGAAAAATTTTGAAAATTTATTTTTAGTTAATAATTTACGAAGAAAAGGTGTATAAAATTTTACATAAATATCTTAGTGATATAAAGAAATTCAGTAAAATTCTATAATAATATAAGAAAAAAGCGTTTATATTATTATGAAAATAATTTTAATATATTAACTAATAAAAATGCTTTAAAACTTTTACGCAAATAATTTAGTGAATATTTTAGAAAACTAACAAAATATAGAAATTAAATTTTTTCATTAACATCAATAATGCAATAAAAACCTTTAAAAAGACAACGCATTAAAATTAGTGAAACAAAAATTTTTTAATAATAATAAAAAATGTAATGATATTATACATATATTATTATAAATACAAATCATAAATTTTCTATATAAAAAATTATTTATTATTATTATATTCATTTAAAAATTCAACCAGCATTTGCCACCGAAAATAATGAAATGTTATCAAGAAGTAAAGGGTTTCCCAACACGCAGACCACTTCATTATTTTCAAGCATAATAGTGAGCATTTCTTTAATAGACTCTTTCGTACAGTCTAGTAGAAGATAATAATGATAATAATAAATAAATAAATAAATAAATAAATAAATAGTTACCTACAAACATTGGAACCTGCAAGGGAACATCGTCAACATTTTTTAAATGGGAACGAATATTTTTAGTGCCCTTCGGTAATTGGCTGGGCCCCTGATATAGCAAAAATTTAATGAAATCAATAATAAATAATATATTGCACATTTATTACCTTCAGTAAAGTTTCTTCTTCTTTCAAAGAAATATGACAATTCCAGCCGATTTCTAAGCCAAGTTTGTTAGCAAATTCTAATAATAATAACAACAATAAAAAATAATAATAGCCATGATAAAAATTAATAATAAAAAATGAAACCTTTTGATGGTTGCTCACTTTCACTAGAAAAAAAAACAAACCGAATTCCCGCTTTCATAAAAAAGTAAACAGGTTATATTAATAACAAATAACGGAAAAACCAATACGAAATGTGATGCTGGCATATTTATAAATTTGCTTATTTGTAGAGGATTATAAGTTGAATTTTTTTGTGATTTATTAAAAAATAATAAATATAATAATATAATAAATTCCAAAAAAAAATTAATAGATACATATTTGTTGAATATCAATAAATAATTTTATAAAAAATAAGTGATAACGTATAAAATATTGAAAAATATTTAAATGATATTAATAAATATAATTATAAATATATTAATATTAATAACAAACAAGTAGTGAATTAGTTATAGATGATAATTAGTAAATAAATTATGAACATAAATAATTATAAAAATAATATATATATTGATTATAAGTATAAATATAAATTTATAATAATAATTAAGATAATAATATAATAAATATATAATAATGATATAAAAAGTACAATATAAATAATCAATAGTAATAACAAACCATCATTAAGGTCTTCAATAAACTTGCTCACGTGCACTTTAGGCTGTCGGTCTACAACGACCAATCCAATTAAAATTTGATCTTAAAATAATTTCATCAAGATCACTGCAAAAAGACCCCAAAATAAAATTTCCTATACACACCTTCTATAATTGTCTGATAAACGTTTTGAGGAGTGTCCACGCGCTAGTTGTTGTATATAAAATATATTATTGACAAGAAAAAATAGAAAAGATTGATAGTTGACTGGCTATTTACTAATACAAATATAGCAATGCAAGTTTTTTTTATAGTAAATTTGGAATAATAGGACAGCTACGCGCTGCAAGTTATGAAGTTTCCTGTGAACAACCAATCACAAGGAGAGGAGATACAAATAACTGAGTCAGAATTCGGTGTATATACCAATATTGACCGCTAAAAAAGATCAAAACCGC